GGGCTGCCTAGACAAAAGTTTGGTACCACCCAGTGGCCCGTTCATTACTATGGAAGCTTACACTCCCGAGATGTTGTGTCCTCTATGTACCGAAATGTGGTACGAAACGTGAAATTAGTGAACACGGTAGAATCCACCTTTCCAGCTCGTTTACGCGTGGCACGTGGTACGTGCGCCAGTATAATTGGCACAATGTATTTTTCATTCGATTTCATATAGAGGCGTGCCACTCTCGGACCGCTCCGCCTCGTCCTTGCCGAGAAAGCAGTCCAGAATCGTGTAATGGCACGATGCCAGTGAAATCAATGTTTGAAGACATTAAAATCTACCGTGCCTGCTGATGTGCACGTGATGCCTGGCATGTGCAGTAGTACGGTCGCCACCAAGCGATAGCCCGCTTGCTTGCCTAAGGATGTCCCCACCCCCCCACCCCCCGGAGTCGCTCCGAGCCATGGTTGCCGATATGTTTGTGCGAGATGGCGTAATCGGCCAAGAGAAGTGACATGGTGCAGCCAGTCACATGCGCAGACGGCCGTTAGACCTTGAAAATTCGCCTGAGACTACCGAGAAATGGACCACTGACTTTTCGTTGCGGCGTAAAAAAACGGCATTTCAAGTCTTTATGTTAAGTTTCTTTGCAGCAAAACGTTGCACAACATGATTCAAGGGAGTATTAGCCATCTAAACACCTTTTGACGCTCTTCACAATCCCGCCCTCTTAAGACCTAAGCACCTCTAGTTTCTGAGATACACTCCCGCGAAAAGGGGGAGAGGTGCATCGGGTGGAATATTTTAGTCACGTTGGCATTCATGACGGCACAATAACGTCATTTAAATCCTGCCGTTTTATACCCTTGCAGCGATGAAGGCCAATATAAATGTTTTTATCGAGGCGTTTATATATTGACGGCCTGAACTCAATTTCCAGATATAACGGACGTCAACTGCCTCTCAATTAATGTTGTGTCATATACGATGACGTAATCAAACCATGACGCATTGAGGAGCAGATTTACTAGTCTAGAGCAGTCTTTTCCACTTAAAGAGCACATCATCAGGTATAAGTCAGCTTGTTTCATCTTAGCGGGTGCTTCCTTCGATATCTTCACAGGTGAAACATTCCCTTTAAGGCAGTGCCAAAGCCCTCTCTGCTAAAATATATAGCTGCGACAAGACTTGATTCCTAAATCAATCAGGAGAATTTAGGTACCGCCACACCCAACACTGATGTGCTTTGAGCCCCTCAAAAGTGTTAATATTACTTAACAATCATTCAATTTTAGTTAAGATGATTTGAGCTGAATTTTGCTTTTCAAAACGGTGCTGCTGATAGACATGTTCATCAAAAATTTCCACTCCCCGTATGCTCGAAAAAATAACAGTGACTTGCTTTGGGCCCTATTGGAAAGGTTAATGATACCCGTGGACGACCTAGTTCCAGTCTGAACAGTTTTTGCTCAAGGAGGCGCAAAAAGTGCCCAACTTTTTTGACTACATAAAGTGGGACCCAAAAAGAAATGCATCCCAGCAGCATCTTAGTGGTGTTTATGCTGATGGGAGGCGGGTAAAGTCTGTGAAGTCTGGAAACACGTAGCAGGCTGTTATTCAAACGGTGACAGACGCCTGAGTAAAACACGTAGCAGGTTGTTATTCAAACGGTGACAGACGCCTGAGTAAAACACGGAGCAGGTTGTTATTCAAACGGTGACAAACGCCTGAGTAAAACAAAAACGTGTGCTTTTTCTGCGTCAGAATGCGCAACGAAAGACGAATTGAAATTTTGTATGAACAGGTGGAAAGAGTGAAGTGAGACTGGCGGTTATTCAACTGCGACAAATTGATTTACACGCATATCATGTAATCGCTTCAACGGCGACAGTTGCTATACCTTGGGTTTGTCAAGAAGTTTAACACGCTCCCAACTGGTACCGAGTTTGCGTACTTATTCTTCACAAAAGCTCCAGCTCGTTTGAAAATCAAGCCCAGTGGGTCACTCTCAAAATAAAATATCCTTTAACCGAGCTTTTCTAAAGCTGGACCGGAAAAACTGGGCCCATTTGTAAACTCAATGGCCCAGAAAGACTGGATCTTGGACACGTCCTCCTCCTCCCACTTTACCAGAGCAACCTCCGGCCCTGGTCCTTCATGACGTTTTTCCAGACTTAAGTACATATTATTAGCCAACATGCACCCCATGTTTTGCCCTCAGGCGCGTCCCGTCAATGTCTGACGAGACATTTCATTGTCCAAAAGGGTCTTGGACCTGGCAGTAGCATATGTTTTGAACGTCAGCGGCGGACTTTGAGGCCTCTGGCACCCCACATTCACGTTTGGGGCACTCTTGAATTGTTCAGGACATCGCGTTTTTCTTTTGCCCTCAGGCCTTATCTTCAAGCTTCGGAGTCGTCTCTTGAGCTGTTATGATGGTTTCGTTATTGGGCGCCTTTTTTGGTTATGAGCGTCCTTTTCTTCCTCAGAACAGCCGACGGGGAGGCTGAAAGAGTCATCGGGAGCACCTCCTCTCTTCCCACCAAGGTTTTGAGACCTTGGAGTGTTCGTGACCTTTAAACACCGTGCCTGGTTCTGCCCCGTGCCGGGCGCACTCTTATGGGCGTCGTCTTTAGAGCGTGGGGTATTGTGTTCTACGACCTCAGACACACGAAATTTCAAAACGCATGTACATGCGTTCTGGTAAAGCGAATAAAAGTCAACATATCACAGCATCTTCAATTTGCCGCACTTAATACAACGCCCTTAACATAACGAGCGATAGTGAGAATAGCAAGCACCCTGCGCAAAAATGCTCTTAAAAGGAAGCCCCTCGCACTGTGCGTGCCAAAAATGCTCTTAAAAGGAAGCCCTCGCACTGTGCGTGCCAAAAATGCTCTTAAAAGGAAGCCCCTCGCACTGTGCGTGCCAAAAATGCTCTTGAAAGGAAGCCCCTCGCACTGTGCGTGCCAAAAATGCTCTTAAAAGGAAGCCCCTCGCACTGTGCGTGCCAAAACCCGCGCTCGCAGCTTTGGCTTCTGACCCCATTCACACGCTTCTCGGCAGTTTTTCAGGTTGAGTGAAACGTGGTATATCTTTCTGGGTCGTGGCCACACAATTTCAAAGTTTTTCTCCCTTCAAGTGAATTGGTCTTATGGTATTGAATTTGACCCAAATTTTATATTCGAACTCGAATAATAGCGACCGAAAAATCTGCGTACAATAGCGACGATCTACATTTTTACGTTCTGTAAAGTAGGTTGAAAAGGTTGTTGTCTTGTTGAAATTGTGATCCAAAAAATTCCTTAACTTTAAAGGGAAATGAAATAAAAGCATCCCCTCTCAGATGAATGTCAATTTAAGGGTGTCGTCACCTCGGTGATGTTTGTTATAGTCCTTATCCGGCCTTGCCTGTAGCACAGGTCAAACATTGCTCAGGCTGCATAGGTCAGTTGCCGGGACTTGGATGTATACAGGACAAACACCACAAATGATCGGTGGTCTTTTCAGGCGCATCACTGACAGGAAAATATGTTAAAACAAATTTTGACAAAACTTTGCTCCAAAGTAAAGAAGCTAAGGCCTTTTTACCTTGAAAGTACACGCATTATGTGACTGGACCCGCCAACGATAGACCTGGACCGTGCTCTCTGAATTTACTGAACTAACGGTGTTAAGCCAGCGAAGCTCAAGCCGGCCCATATCGTATCCCACTTTTACAAGTTTGCATGCCCCATTTGAATCCACCACTTGAAGGCAAGTGGCAATGACTGAGTGATATAATAATGATGCTGTGGTGACAGTACAGTGTGACTGCTGAAATTTCGACACCACTTGAATGTTTTTTCCCACTTGTGTTCTGTAGTAATCGGCCACAGACAAATCAGGGGACCAACATTCTGGCGATGACCTCTAAAGCCTCCCCAAGGTCAACAAAAGTCAGTGTATTTGGGCTCCTGCATCAAAATTGATTGAATTTTGCAGCCACCAATTGTAGCAAAGTCGATTCATGAATATCAAACACCGCATTTTTTTCTCCCAACCGTTATCCATGCTGCATCACTGTGGAATATATCGCATGTCAGTTGTAATGTACGTAGTATGCACTGAGCGCAGGACATGATGGTACTTAGTGTATGCTATAAATGTAGTAAACGGATGGGATAGTCCATGCTTGCCTCTAACACGCCCTCGGTGGGAGGGGGGAGGGGGAGGGTCAAATTGACTCCCGAAGGTTTTCCGGGATGCTCTCCGAACGGCGCGGCTTAGCCGCGCCAAATTTTGCATAGCTGTAGACAATTGAATAACGGATCGTTTGACATAAACATTATATGTACCTTGTAAGGTCACTGACCTTTGGTAGGTCAAAT